CTGCAAAAACAGTTAATATCCATGTGGGCTATAATATGACTGGGTGAGGCTTTAGTCTTTGTATTGTAGGCGTTTGATGTTAATAGAGGCTATTAGTTTAGCTATTTCAAATTCCTTTCTCTTGCCACACTTGAAACGGCATCCAGTTCCAAAAAGAGTAAAGATGAGACATGCCAAGTAACTAATCTCTTGGACTCTGTGACACATTCACAGTCTCTGAGAGCCACCTCCTACCATATAGTTTCAAATTGACTCTGATTTGGTCACTGAATGTGCTGCGATGAAGGCATAAGACATCCAAGATTGAGACTGGATTGATCCACAAAAGAATGGTGGATTTTATTAACCAACAGATAATGAAGAACAAGGGAGAGAAGCATGTTATGTTGGAAATGACTTTTACTTGAACCTAAGTTTAAGGGAGATTGGAGGAGATCATCACAAAGTTAAAACTCAAAATTCAGCAAAGAAATGTTATACCTACATTTATCTTATTGGGTTGGCCAAAAATTTCTTTCGAGTTTTTCCCTAAGATCTTATAGAAAAACCCAAATGAACTTTTTGACCAACCCAATAGAAATAAGGTTTACAGATAATTTGCATACAAATATAGAGAAATTTATATGTTTTAAATGACAATGGCTCAGGCAATGGTTTTACCTTTGGAAAGAGCAGAAGCCAGATATTCAGGGGATGAAGAAAGAAAGGGACCTACCTAAGAGGTACTTTGAGGTCTTTACCATCAAATTAGAACTGGATGAAGGAGAAATTGAGCTACATTTACACCAAATGCTCTTCCTCTGAAAATGGCAAAATTTCTCAGCAGTGAGCTTGAGTGACTTCCCTGGAAGGAGTTCATGTCCAAGAAAGCCTTGAGAAGCATCATCTTATAACAGCAGATGGGAAGCCTATAGCAGCAGCAGTTAGGAAACCATTTCATGAAGACTGGGACAGCCATACAAAGCAGTTACAGACTATTTGAACATTTAAGAGGAGACAATTTTATAGATCATAAGATACATTTAGCCTTTTCAGGCCTGCTTCAAGATCACTGTGTAGTTAAAAATACAGATGTTGCCCCCCCCAAAAAAAAGTTGATTCAGTATAATTTTTGAGCATTTACTATTTGCTAGGCAATGCTTTTGCCTCTGGGGATACAAAGGGAGCAGAGACCACAGATTCCTATACCCATGGAGCATAGATCTTACAGGGAGAGATGGAAAATAAATAAGATAAATAGGGAATATGTAGCATGAGAGTGGCAAGTGAGAAGGAAAACAAAAGAGCAGGGAAGAACTTAATCAAAAATTTGCAACAATCATGGTTATATTATTAAGGACAAAGAAGCAATAATAATGACACTAATAATAAACTTAGCAGGGCCTTCTGGAAAGGAGAAACAGGAGAGGATCAAAGTATCTGAGGACTAGCCCACTATAGCATAAAAAGATGAAAGAGTAAAAAAGATGTGTTTTGCCACTACAAAAGAGCAAGTTAATTCAATTTTGAAAAATCCAGAAGCAAAGCAGAGGAAAGGCAACTTTTAGGGTGAGCACATATAACAAGGTCTTAGCATTCACTGGGTCTCCTGGGGCAACACCTTCTCAAGTCTCAGCAGCAGCTGAGGGCAGAGATCTGCTATTGCTGACTCTGCAGATGAAACAAATGGGGGAGAGAGCATTGCTTGGGGTCCAAGGGGGAATTAATACATTTCAAATTAAGGAGGATAGAGAGAAAAGGAACCAGCTGAAGAACCACTGGTGCAAATTTGCAAACCCTTCAAGAAGGCTCAAATGTCTCAAGTATCATTCTGAGAGATGGGAGTCGGTTTGCTTAGGTGGGTCCTCCCCACCCTGTCTGATAGCATGGTGCTCTAATTAACACCAGCATGCTGGACAGCAGACTTTAAGCTCACAGGTCTTAGACTGTGAACAACTAGACTAGGCTGATTGAGATTTTGGTAAGGACATGGTTGAGGAGATTTACTCTTCTCTCTGTTTTTGGACTTTAACAGTAATTTGGGTCTGAAATGAACCAAGTACAACTGACCCTGAGCCACACAGGTTTGAACTGTGTGGGTCCACTTACATTAGTTTATTTTCAACAGTAAATACTCTGGTACTGCATGATCCGTAGTTGGTTAAATCAGCCAACTGAGTATATGGGGGGCCAATTATAAATTATACTTGGATTTTTGACTGCTTAGAGGGTCGGCACCCCTAACCCCTACATTGTTCAAGGGTACTGGGTTATAAGAATACTATTTACACGTCATAAGTCTTGTATATGCTGGGGTTGCATGTTCTCTAAATGTGGAGGGTTTGGAACCAATGCTGTGAAAATCTTATGTGGCCTATTAATTTTGGAACTTTCAAAAACCAGGGCACGTGAGAAACTTTCAGTAAAAGTATTTGAATCTTAGAGGTCCTGAATGAACCTCAGTCTTTCCAGTCAATGGTCCCAAGCTATAGCCACTAAAGGAGCCGCTATTCCCACAAGCATTTGACCAAGACCTATCTGACTAGATTGAGCAGAGAAAGAGATTGAAGAGAAAAAAAAAAAAAAAAAAAAGACACATTTGGACTCTAATTTCTTTGGGGTTTAACTTACATCTTTTTATTCAATTTTAACCTAAATGTAAGACCGGACACTATAAAACTCATAGAGGAAAACATAGGAAAAACACCTTTAACATAAACCACAGCGAGACATTTTTTGACCCACCTCCTAGGGTAATGAAAATAAAAACTAAAACAAATGGGACTAATTAAACTTAGAAGCTTTATCACAGCAAAGGAAACCATAAACAAGATGAAAAGATAACTCTCAGAATGGGAGAAAATATTTGCAAATGAAGCAATGGACAAAGGATTAATCTCCAAGATATACAAACAGCTCATGGAGCTCAATATTAAAAAACAAACAACCCACTTAAAAAATGGGTGGAAGACCTAAATAGACATTTCACCAAAGAAGACATAAAGATGGCCAAGAGGCACATGAAAAGATGCTCAACATCACTAATTACTAGAGAAATGCAAATCAAAACTACAATGAGGTATCACCTCACACTGGTCAGAATGGCCATTATCAAAAAATCTACAAACAATAAATGCTGGAGAGGGTGTGGAGAATAGGGAATCCTTTTGCACCGTTGGTGGGAATGTAAATTGATACAGCCACTGTGGAAAACAGTATGGAAGTTCCTTAAAACACTAAAACTAGAACTACCATATGACCCAGCAATCCTGCTACTGAACATATACCTTGAGAAAATCATAATTCAAAAGGGAACATGTACCCCAATGTTCATTGCAGCACTATTTACAATACCCAGGACATGGAAACAATCTTAATGTCCAACAACAGATGAATGGATAAAGAAGGTGTGGTATATATATACAATGGAATATTACTGAGCCATAAAAAGGAATGAAATGGGGTCATTTGTAGAGATGTGGATGGACCTAGAGTCTGTCATACAGAGTGAAGTAAGCCAGAAAGAGAAAAACAAATATCGTATATTAACGCATATATGTGGAATCTAGAAATATGCTACAGATGAACCTGTTTTCAGGGCAGGAATAGAGACTAGACGTAGAGAACGGACATGTGGACCCAGGGGTAAGAAGAGGAGGGTGGGATGAATTGAGAGATTAGGATGGACATATATACACTACCATGCGTAAAATAGATAGCTAGTGGGAACAAGCTATAAAGCACAGGAAGCTCAGCTCAGTGCTCTGTGATGACCTAGATGGGTGGGATGGGGGGTGGGGTGGGAGGATGGTCCAAAAGGAAGGGAATATAGGTATACATAGAGCTGATTCACTTCAGTATACAGCAGAAACTAACACAACATTGCAAAGCAATTATACTCCAATTTAAAGAAAAACAGAATGAGGGTTCCAATTTTGGGCTTTGATTTTTTCTTATGAATTTGACAATGGCAGATAGTATTCAAATTTTTAATTGGTAACATTTAAAACAATTATTATATTCCTTGGAATAATCATGTGCTAGCATTCACACACTTTGCTATGTTTCCTGCACAGTATATTGGGTAACCTGACTGTTCATATTCGAGATATAAAGTAGAAGAGGAAGTAAACTTAGAAGCCTGCATTTTGGGTTAGAAGTTATTTTAATTTGCAAACTCTTCATTTCTTAGCTTTCTGGGGCCGGAGCTAACTGTATGCCGGAGGTCCAAGAAGATGAATAGAGTTGTGGCTGTGGGAATGTTCTCATGAAATAGGAGCAGAGATGTTTTCATAGACTGTTGGTATTTCTAGAGAGGACAGCCACAGCTTTAGGGGACCAGAACCTATATTTTGAAACTACAGAGCTAAGCGGACACAACCTGGGAAACTTAGGAGGGATCTCCTCTGTCATCATGTTCCTTAGGCATGTTTCCTCGAAAGTCACAAATCTAGTGATGCTATCAACCTCATTTACTCATTCAAAGGATGGTGAGAGCGCAGGCAACTAAGTCCATAGCCATGAGGATTGCTAACAGAGATCCAATACTGTCTCCCCAAGCTCATGATCCTGCCTGAAAGCTGAGATGTTGATCTCCATTAGACAGATAACTGGCAGAGACCCAGTTCAAAACTGTCCTGTGAGCCTCTGAGGTTGACATCACTACCCTCACGTTAAAGATTGGGAAACTGTGACTCAGAATTAAGCAATTTTCCCAGAGGCTCACAGTAAATGACAAGAAAGAATTCAAAACTGGATCTGTCTCACTGAAAAGCATCTGCAGCTCCCACGTATATCATCCCTCAAGAACTGGCCCTTGTCTCCTCCCTGACCACATCTCCCACAACTTAACCTCATGAATTTTTTTTCCCTCTGTCATACCATGCTAATTAATATTCAATAAATGCCATATGTTCTCTTAGTTCCCCGTGCCTTCCCACACCCTCTTTCTCGCCTTTTAACTTGCACTACTCCTACCCATCCTTCAGCTAGTCACCAACTCTGGGCTTGTTTTATTCTAGATGTCCTCCTCAATACCTCCAGATGACCTCCCTCCCTCATTACTTCCAAGATCTCTTAGGATATCACTTATCGCGGTGGCACGTGGTAAGTTTCTGATTATATGTGTACCTTCTCTCTTAACTGTATCTGAACATCTCTGTACTTCCTGAATTAACAGAGTTCTGAGCATGAAGTGATCACTGAGTGTCTGTAAAATGAAGTGCCTTCTCATTTTTTCAGCTCTTTTAATCTAATGAAATACTCATGCAACTTATTGCTATTGATCCAGCATTTAATAGCATTGAAGAGTTTAGAATCACCTGCAGACATGAGGGAACACTGGGACTCCCTCTACCTGATCTTGGATAATCAGACTAAACAATAAGTCTCAACTTTGATGCCTGAAGGATCGCTCTTTTCATGCTTCACTCATCCATTCATTACCAAAGAGATGGAAGTGTGAGATCTGTGACAAAACATCCTTCCCTTTCTGACAGTTGTTCTTACAGGAAATACTCTCCTTGGAAGCCCTGTCCAAGGTTTTGAAATTATAAATATGTGCACTTACCATGTTTATTGGCCATCTCTTTTGAAAAATAGATTAGTCAAACACGGTTTTCCCCTAACAAACCTGCTTATCTTTACCTACTAGATCTGTTTAACCACTCAATGTCAGTGCGCTTTATTTGGGAATTCACCAATTGACCCACTATTTCCTGTGTTAATCAGAGAGCATATGAGAATGTATAAACCCTAGCAGAGAACTCAGTTTCCATGTTACAGTGGAGAGAAGTGCCTGCTGTCCTCAAAGAGTTAATTAGCTACTCTGAGCATCGGCTTCATTTCTAGAGTGACTTAAGCACTGAGAAAAATCTGGTTTCGAGTTTGGAGATGTTTCAAGGTAAATCATCTCTTTGCACATTTGGGAAGTGTATGCCATGGGATGCTGTACAATTTGTCAAATTGTGTTCATCTGTAAGAAAGCAGTCCTGAAGTTAGACCCTCGTATACGAAGTTTTTCTTCTGTCATTTCTAAGATTTAAGAAAGGTTTCAAGACCAAGTACTGTCACTTCTATGTGATACTGACCCAGGCCCTGGAGATAAATCACACTTGTAACAGCTTGAGGTGCATATACTCACAGATGATATACATTTTACCATTCACGGCTAGCTTTACAACTCATGTGAGTGAAGTAGGTCACAAAGAAGTGTTAGAGTTTCAAAACTCCATCTGGTATGTGCTTTTTTTTTCCATCAGGAAATTTTGCTATTTTTAGCATGGGAGGCGACTTTTGGGATGATCTCAATCAATCCCTTAATTTTATAGATTAAGAACCAAGACCTGGGAAGGTTAATTGATTTTCCCAAAGTCCCAGAGCTAGTTAGTGGCAAGCCAACGCCACAGCCCATCTTTTTTTCTGTCTCAAAGGCTCTCTTTCCACTATGCCAGGCTGTCTCCAGTTTCCGGCTATGCAAACCAATCTTCTGAAGTGCATTATTAAAGGATTATCTGTTCTACCCTTAGTGGCTGGGTCAGCAATAAGATTATTACATTTTTATCTCATTCAGAGCGCTCCAACCTGGGAGATTCTCATCTGCCATACTTAATCTGCCAAAAATACGCAGAGGGAAGTAATGACACACAGTAGTCACAGAATTAGATACTGAAAGTCATTAGCTGGGCAATCCCTGGTACAGTCTACAGCTAAATTATGTCGTGCTTTTAAAAAAACATTTCTTCTCCCCACTTATGCATCCATGAAAACCTGTGCACAGCCAGCCTGGTCCGAACCTGCCCATACAGATAGCTCCCGGAAGTGCCTACACTCTGACATCTGCCTAAATGTCAAACGAAGCTGCTGTACGATAATGAATACAAAATGAATTAATAATGATATATGAATCATGAATACAATTTACAGTTCCTCAGACAAAATACTGTCTTTTTTAGCCTGCACCTGCGTAAACTACCTCACGCAAGCCTCAGTCGCAGCCTGCCAGGCTCTCTTCTGGCACACCACCGCCATCTACTGTCATTGGGAAGAATGGCAGCCTCCCTCAAAGCTTGTATCCCAAGCTTGTCTGTTCTTTCTCATTACCAAACAAGTATTTGTTTTAAAAAGTCTTTGGCTTTTCAAAGGTGAGCGCTCATCCTTCTTTCAGTTACTTTCGTTGCAAATAACTTAGAACTACTCTGGGCCAAAATATTGATAGTTGACAGCTTGTTTATCACACCACAGAATCTAAACACTGGGTATAATACCATCCTGAACTCAAAGCAGTTCTTTGTTTTCAAAAATAATTAAATAACAATGTATTTATTTCTCTTTCGCTGCCTTTACACATAGCTTTCTTTATGAAAGTCCACCAGCTCATCAAACATTCTGAGGCTTTTAATATTTTCCCTACAAATGAATTCAGCATTTCTAGACTCCATAGTGAGACATTATTAAAATTATAAGTGATATTGGCTTTGTTCCCTCCACCCTGTAGTGGACATTTGCTGTTTTCTCTCCCACTTCCTCCCCGGTGTCCCCAGCATCTATCATTTAACTGTGTCTGAATTTCTCCCCTTTAACCAAGAGGATGCTAAGAAATGATATATTTCTAGAAAAGATCCCTTTGGCCTCTCAGTAGAGAAAAGAGCATAGGGGAAGTGTGTAAGGAGGGAGGGAAGTTAGGAGGCTGTTATGGGAATTCGGATGAGTGATAACTGTGACTTCGACTAGTGCAGTGGTGATAGAGGTGGTGAGAAGTGACAGGATCTGGGATATATTTTGAAGGTAGGGGTAATAAACATTGCTGATAAATCGGATTTGACATAAGAGAGAAAGAGAAGACTCAAAGATGACATCTTGATTTGTGTCCTGAGCAACCAATTTAGAGAGGAAACCAGGAGTTCTGTTTTAAACACTTTAAAAGAATTTGAGATTCCCACTTGACACTGATATAGAGCTGACCCATGACAGTGCCTATTCATCATGCTGATTTCCTTTTGGGAAATTACCCTTTCTTACCACGTGCAGTTCAGGTAGGACTATGAATTAAGTTCTTCTACCTTTATCTTATATATGATTTGAGCTGTAGACAAATATGCTATGTCTGAAACATAAAACTAAATTTAAAAAGTGAAACCATCAGTTTCTTTTATGGCAAGTTCAGGAAAACTATGTAAACTCTTCCCCCAGTGCTAGAATTCATATGAAAGCAATGATGTTAGAAACAAACCCCTCTGCCATCTCTGGATTCTTCCTATGCTTTGCATGCTCTGATTCTGATATGAAAAATTGAAATGGAAATGAAAACTAACATGATTAACTCTCTCCTCATCTGTGCAATGAGGGAACTTGACCCCAAATCTCTAAGGCCCCCTGCTTCGACCTTCTGATTCTGTGACAGTGCATAACTAAAATAGACCATGTGTTTCTTTGTAACTAGGCCAACTTATTAAAACTTAGTATATTTATTTTCCAGATTACAGTGTTCTCAATCATGTTAGTTTTAAAAGTATTTGCTAAGATTTAGGGAAAAGAATGTTGTTGCCAAGTAACCAGACTTATAGGAAAAAGAGGCAGCAGAAATGAAAATAAAAATTCCAAAAGAAATTCTTTAAAAACACCATTAAGAATATGATTGAAGTTTCCAAGTTTGATTATTCTTGGTAAAATACATTTATATTTGAACTTTCAAATCAAATGTTGAGATAAAAAAAATGAATGGGAGTGGAGGAGTAATATTATCTCACTTCTATAATCATACATTAACTGAATATTTCCACAGTAGTGTACTGAACAAGCCTGATGATGATCTTTCATTAATTCATTTACCAAATATATATAGATGGAATGACTCACAAGAGGTGCACTGATTGAATAAAATCATTTAGAAATAGGAAAGTTGGCATGTGCAGAAATAAACTTTCATAACAAACAGGTATGAGGCAATTCATTATGAGTAGATAGTTCTAATTTCATCAAATTATCCATTTACTTTTGGTAAAGTCACATACAATTCTAGAAATACCACTTTGCCCTTCACAATCTTTTTTACTATCCCTAGATAATACATCCACTTTTCCTTCTTATTTCTGAACTGTCTTCTATGTGTCCATCAAACCTTGATTCCACAGATCACAGCACAAATTTCATTTTTTTTTCTTTTCTCCTAGACAAAAGGAGGCTGCTCATTTGATCCTTCTTATTGAAATAGAGAAAAGAGTTTAATAGCTTTAACAAAATCTTTTATTGTACATGTCCAAGTTATTTTATTCATACAGCACGTTTTACAGTGCTGACAAAATTTTATCCTATGCCCAAAATACCGCATGCCATTCTTGATGGTTTTTGGAATTTTTAATCTCCATTAATATAATTAAAGTTTATGCATATGAACTGAAATGGCTCCTCAAAAAAGGGGCAGTTGGAGGCAGGACTCACGGGCATGGAAACATTTCTTAGGTAACATATCACTTTTTTTCGATCCAACATCAGGCACCAATTACAAATCCAACTTATAAATACCTAAGATGTACTTAGGAATGAAAAATATACATTTTCAATTGATTTTATATTCTCTGCTACACCGGAAGTTTGCTATTGTACATATTAAAGGAAAAATAAATGGGAGAGATTCCAGCAAGTATCTTCAGTATATAAAAGCAAGTATAATATGATCAAATCTGTGGGAAATACTGTTATTTTTCCTCAAATATACATCCCCTGCCTCTCTTTTCATTGTAATAGAATGTTTACCTCAGTATATGTGCACTTAGATTAAAGACTACATTTCCTGGCATCCCTGGTAGCAAGGAATAGCCACATGACTAAGTTCTGGGCAATGGGGTATAAGCGAAGTGGCAGAGGTGAACATTCCAGATTGTGCCCTCTTAGATAAAATATGTAGTTCTGCCTTCACAACCCATTACTGGCTGCTATGAATAAGTGATAGTGAATCATCTTGAGTTATGCAGATAAGCACAACCCCTTAGAAATAGCAGAGCAACAAGATAGAAAGATCCCAGGTCTTCGATGACTCCATAATGCTGAGCCATTACACCAGCTCAACTTTCATGTAAGTGCAAAATGAACTTCTACCTTGTTTATGTGATTTTTTGTGGGTCTCCCCTTCAGATGGCAACTCTATATCCTAAAAATACAATGTCTATTTGTGCAAGCAAAGATACATCTGCCCCCAATTCTGTTTATAGGAGTGCTGTCAAAAGGGGTTTACCTTGCAAAGTGTAACAGGTGGGTCATAACACTCAAATATGCTGAATAAAGAAACAGGAAGGCTATTCTAGGATGTTACATAATTACACTTTTTGTGATGTGAATGGGTGCCCTGGGCCACTCAATGCAAAGAGGAAATATTACAGAAACTAGGTAAAATGCACTTTGCTTTGTTCTCTGGAAAACTTTTGATTTAATTTGCTCATTAAGAAGCCAATAACTCACTCATAGCTTTATGCAAAGGGTTTTTATTAATCTACTACGTGCAAGCCCTATATTTGTCTATATATTTGAGCAGGGACAAAAGGTCAGTTGAATTAAGGTAGATCTGGGTTTGAAAATAGCTCTAAACTCTAGTAGCCGTAAGATCCTTTGCAAATTATGTAACCTCTCTAGGCCCCAGTTTTCTCAGAGGTAAAAAAGGATAGTGTTGGTTCCTAACTCACAAGGTTATGAGAACTGAACAAGAGAATGTGTCTTGAGCCCTTAGAAAATGTCTACATACCGAAATCATTCAAATTATGTTTGCTAGTGTAATCGTTGGTATTATTATTATTACTATCATGGTATAGTAAACATATAGTATAAAAAACAATGAGACATGTCTTGAAATTTGAGGGACTTGCCATCTGGGAGGGGGGATTGGATATCTTTCCATTGGTTATAATACCAAAAATTCCTATGACCCTTGTAAGCAAGTAGTTATTTCTGGCTAGGAATACTAGAAGTTGTTTTATGGATGGATAACATTTTAACTGGATATTAAACGATAAGAATGCTCTTCATAGGTGCAAATAAGAGCTAGGATGAAAGGGTGTCCGGTTGGTTAGGACCATATGAGTCAATGCACAATGGCCCTGAAATTGTACTTGTTTTACAGTTGCAAAGAAATGTGAAAGCTCTTTTGAAAGCCATGGTTTCAAAAGGAAAGGGAGATTGTGAAGGGGGTAAAATAAACTGACAAACAGTGGAAATAGGTATTTTGTCACTTCCATCAGAATTGCAGCATCAGAAATATACTGAAGAGCCAGTGCTAAATATCCTTTCCTTGTGCCGGAAGGTTGAAAAGAAAACCAGGCATCAGCTACCTGGGACATGATATGAAAAGCAGCAGAAAAACATCACTGGAATAAATCTGAAGTAAAGTATAAGTAGCTTAGCTTTCTACATCTGATTCACACAGAATGTAATTTATAGCTACATGAAGTGTAAACTGGTCTCCTTCCCAAGGAAGTAAACTGTGCCTCTTGTGGTCAATTAAAAACAAACCAACCCACAAACGCTTTGTTAGGCACAACCAATCTCTGTAGTGTAGAAGGACACATTTTACTCTCTGGCCATGGGTTGATCTCCAATCTTGAGATCAGCAGTGTGGGTCTCCTGAAAATAGTCCAAGTCTGTTGAAATTCTGAACAGAATTTTGTGCTGGTTTTAGCAGCATAAAAGCTTTGAGGAAAGTTCTAAATAAGATTCTCAGTTATTATCAGAATACTGATAAATTCCATGTTTTATATTCAATCTCATGTTTATGATTTTTTACTATAATCCCCCCACACGTTCCAAATGCTGAACAGATACTTAAACAATATTGAGAAGGGGTGGGGATTCTAGAATAACATGTGAGATTGAGCAAAATAGATGCTTGACTTGTCTCACTCCCAAGACCTATTACAATGATAATAAACTAATGCCACTAACAATAAAAAGTATAAAACTATCAGAACAGAAGGAACTAAAAGTGTAGGAGGATCCATGTACAAGAGATTTTAAGAAATTAAAATTTACTGAAGACAACAAGGGTAGAATACTGATGACTAATGCAGCCAGTTAATCAAAGTTAAGGATCAGAAGCACCTAATGCGAAGGAAGCTTGTGAGTTCTGTGGAGCCCTGGAGGGGTGTGATACTGAAACACCATGCACCTTACCAACTAACAGTAAGATGTGGGCCCTGAAACAGTGGAATCAACTGAAAGACAAGAGATACAAGGATGACTTCCCCACCCCAATCTGCATATGCAGAGAAACCCAAGAGCCAGGCACCCAGGGAACATACACACACACACACACACACACACACAACAAAAATTACCATAAGAAAAACAGGCAAAGAAACAAGGGAGAACGGCAGGCACCAGGCAAGTCAACGTGTGCTGGCACAAAAGAGCAAAAATGTCTAATGACCAGCTCCCAACTATTCTAAAAGCCAGCTGACAACTCCTTCTACTTACACATATATAAAGTTTTTGCATATTTAGGTTTTTATGTTTATTTGGTTCTTTGTTGTTTGGTTTTGGTTTTGATTTTTGCAGTGGTCTCTCCGTCTTACTTATGGAGGTACAAAATGTATTCATTCACTAGTTTCAGCCAACTGTTTATCCATCCAACAAATATAAGAAAATATTAGAAAAGCCTATGGAAAAATGAATATAAAGGCAGATTTTCTGAAAATAGTTTAATTTAGACAAGGAAACAAAGATCAGAAGTAGGTACAGAAATGTGAAGACCTGTGTTTGCTAATTAATGACTGCTATTCCCTATTCCTGCTGAATGGGAGTTAATTCCCAGTGTGATAGACCTGCTGCAAATGCAGCAATGAATAAGACCTCAACTTCACTGGCCTCAACTTGAAGAAGTTTACATTCTAGGGGAGGCACCACAGTGCTGCAGTAGGGGCACTGCTACTGCATATGCTACAGAAAACGTGGAGGAGGAGGCCCGAACCTCAAATGGTTCAGGGAATAGCATGATTAAGAAACCAAGCATTTCAGACTTCCTCCATGGAGTGACTAGGATAGACTGAAATGTAAAAATAAAACATAAACCTAAGGAAAACACTCAGCATCTTGAGTCAGAATGAAAGATTGTGGAATAAAGCCAGAACTTAGTAACATGAGATAGTGGTTCCAAATTTTAATACTCACATTGTACCTGAAGCGTACTCTCAACAAAAGAAAAGAACGTCCCTTCTCCATATGCTTCAGTATGTGCTCCTACAGTGACGTTGTTCTTCCCTTTACTGTTTCTCCTACACCCATCACTTTCCTCATTTACCTAGATCATAATACCTTGAACAAAGGAATCATCCAATATATGTGTGTTGAATTACTGAATTAGCCAATAAATCAACTAAATTTTTAAAAATCAGTATATCAATAAATTTATTAATTTCACTAAGTTCTACATGACACAAGGCCTCTGGTCATTGCTGTTATATTGGCTGCTTTGTTATATTAACCACCTTCTTTAAAATCTTTCCTTGTGAGTATTCTAACCTATGTACATTAAAGAAAGATAAGTTTAGAGTACTTAAAAGGCCTTCAAAAATATAAAACTATTCATATGAAGGCATAACTCATTTTATCATTATCATTGTCACCTTTAACAGGAATTCTTTAGACCTGCCCCAAATTTTCAAGATTTCAGTCTTCATAGGAATTTTAATGAGAATTTGGAGCCATTGGATTTTTATATGCAATCCCTACTATTATTATTCTAAGGTATTACATAAAATAATTACAAATATACAAATTCTGACTTGTCACTTCTTCAGTGGAAAGAGTTTTATTTTACAAAACCTACTATTAGTACACAGTGTTTACAGTTTAGGGGAAAATTCTGCTGTGCTGTATTATAGATATTTTTTCGGAGTTTTATTAATAAATAATTACCATTTACAGAACGCTTACTGCACTACAGACACAAGCTATGTACATCTTTAACACTATTCGAATCATCTTACAACAAACCTATAACGAAAGAATTTTTATTCCCATTTTTCAGATAATGAACTGATGTTTAACTGGGTTAAATTATCCAGCCAACGTCATCAGATTGAAAGTAATAGACCAATATTTGTCATGAAAGTCATAGTCTGATACTTGAAACTTACTTCTCTGAACTCAGTTTTATTTGATGTGCCTTAGGCAATGTATATAAAATTACCCTGTATTATTAGCAGCATCTAATTATGACTATCTTAAAAACAACACGCTTTACATTGCACATAGAAAACCTATTTACTCAGCCAAATAGTTAATTAGTGTCATAGCTGACAGCTCACCTTTCTCCTCACAGCGCCGAGATTGTCAATCAGATGGCATGCTTCCATTCACACCTGCATCCCATTGTTTGAATAATACCTATGCAAGTTCAACTCCTGTCATTTCAATTTATAGAAGCTAGTACCATGTCACTGATGTGTGTGGGTGGTTCGGATATTTCAAGGGAGAAATATAATTAGGAAAATAGAATATAGTTTATTTCTGAAACCTATAGGTGCTCTATCTTATATTTTAAATTATGTTTTGCTAATATATAGAATATTTTATGTGAAATGAATATTCAGTGACCAACTTAAGAGTCGGTATTAAAAAATGAAGAATTTGTTACAGCATGAATTTTGACATGCCAAACAATATGCTTTTTTCCCCTGACAACCTACTGATTACATATGAGAAGTCTGGATGGCAAACTTTGTTTATATGTCAGGCTTAGTACTATTGCTCAGTGACAGGACAATAAAGGCTCTCTATTATTTCTCTTATAAATTCACTGACAGATTCATGCTAGCAGTGACCTTAAATGTGGGACATGCCCACAATCACAATTTTATATTTTAAAAGTAATTAATTTTGTTTTTGAAAAATAATTCATTGAATTGTTATTTTCTCCATTCTTTCTTCAGCGTGATTCCCGACATTTTACAGTGTTTATACCACCAGGAGACTCGCGATGCATCAGGCACTAAAGAAAACTCTCCCAAGGATGGCCTGCTTCATACAGCTGCAGTTGGATGAAGATCATGAATGTTTTCTTTCAAGAGAATCTCTATGAAACTTTTCCCTCCCCTGTTTCTCTACAAGAATCTCTGATGTGTCATCATATGTATGGGGCTATATGTCTGAGAGAAATAATATTTTCCATTCAGTAGCAAAATATCCTTCAAAAGGATACTTAAGAGTTTTATAATACATGCTCCCAAGAGAGATGGTAAAAGTAGTTCCATTTACATCCTTGTCCACGATGGTCTAACAATTCAGCCTGTTAGATTGAGCACTCACACGTGTTCTCTCTCTCTCTCTCTCTCTCTCTCTCTCTCTGTTTCCATATCGTTCTGTTCTTCTCGCTATCTCTGTCTGTTTTATTTTTCTTTCTCCCCCATCCATACACATAGACACACAAACATTCTCTCTCTCTCTCTCTTTCTGCCCCCTCTATTTTTATTTCATCGAAATTCATTCACTAACCAACAAGCCAGACAGATTTAATCTTAAATTTTCAAACAGCTGAGGAAAAACAGGTTAACTAAGACCATCCCAGATTTAGACCGATTTTCAGGATCTGCTTAGAACATTTGCTTTTGAAGACATGATATCCAAGTGTAAAAAAATTAGCCAATAAGCTGGCTTACTGGTCACATGATTTGAGTCATCCAAGTCCCACAGAATATAAAATTTGGACCCACTAATTCCTTTAAGCACAACAAGGCTTCCGTTTTACTGATCTTTGTAATGCAGTAAAATTTCATCTCTAATGAGAACAAAGTCTTCCAAATAAATGAATACAGCCACCCATGACTGTTCTACTTAAAGGTTGAATAGACAGCCATTACACAATATAATTTCCCTAAGGAAATTATCTGCCCCCAAATATTTATTCCCACTGACCCATGATAATTTCCTGAAATTTCTTCTTTTACTCTTTGGGCTAAACCACTATGCTCTCAAAAGGTCCCTGTTAAAATGCAAATATATTTCATAATCCAGGATATACTGGGAATTTCTAATGCATTTATTTAATAGCATTATGGAGACTCACCAGGACACAAATGACAGGAGACACAAATCAGGAATATTTTAATTTGCAAAAGTTTAAAAGTTTCAGCATTCTATTTAGAGCGAGCTTGCCCAGTATGCAATATGTAATGAGGAACCAGATGTAGTTGGTAGTTCCCTTGAGAAAAGGGACACCAAAATGATAAGTTATAATGATGAAATATATCTCATTCACAGTTTATTGGTCTCCAGCATGTTTAAACTCATAATAACTCAGTGGATGATAACAGACTTGTGTAGAAGTTGCCTGGACAGGAGTATTTGGTTTCTTAAGATACATAAAAGTATCTAATTTCTAATCAAACATCAGAAAAAGCAGCAGAAGCTTGTAGGAGAATATTGCAGCCCTCAGTGTGTGTAAGTCAGAAATTTTCAGGTTTTCCTGCATTGTGGGCACTGGGAGAGGAGTTAAATTCACTTTCAATTCATCCATCTGTAAAATTGCTATTCTGATTATTAAACATTTCTAAAGTCTTCCCAATGTCCCGAGCACTGAATATAATATGTATAAAGACATTGTTTGTGCCCTCTAGGAGCATAATGAAGCTTACCACCTACTTCTAGGAATGTCTTGGGGAGTGAAATACTATTTTAAAGTGCCAAGAGCTACTCAGAAGAAATGTGCTGTATAATTACAAATATTATTATAGATGAATGGACATGTTCCATTAAACACTAGAATTGGTTACCAAGGGAGTTTATGGAGTTTTCTTCCCTGAAGAGCTTAAAAAAAACCCCACGCATAGCAGCTAGATATACATCTGCCTATGACCGTTTAGGTGGTGCTAAGCCTAGCACAAATTGGGAAAGTTATGGAGGGAAAAACCAAATGAACTCTCAAATTATACCAGTGTTAGTGTCATGTAAAGAACAAGGTTGAAAAGAAATGAACTAAATAAACAAATTGAAAAACAGAAAGATCATAAGCTCCAACTGAGTTAGGAACTGGGACATGAAGAACTATTCAGCTTAAACAGAAGAATATCTATTTAACTAATTGCCAGGTATCCTCCATCTGTTTTGTTCTGAAACATCTTGAATATGTTTAAGGACAAAACTTGCATGTTAAAAAAAGGCATGGACGTATATTCATTCTGTTTTAGATTCTTATCTCATATAGGTTATCACAGAATATTGAGTAGAGTTCCCTGTGCCATATAGTAGGTCCTTATTGGTTATCTAGCTTATATATAGTAGTGTGTGGGTATTCATCCCAAGAGTCTGACTTACCCCTCCTCCCCCACGTTTCCCCTTTGGTAACCATAAGTTTGTTTTCAATACCTGTTAAGTCTGTTTCTGTCTTGTTGAAACTAACACAGCATTGTAAATCAACTATACTCCAATAAAATTTTAAAAATTAAAAAAAAAATCACCAAAGGGTGGGGGAGAAATGGCATGGAACTACACTGAGGATTATTGAGGCTTAATGGGTTGGTTAATCAGGGAAAGGCACGAATAATAGTAACCTGGAATATTCTAAAAATGAGGTATTCTGAATTGATACTTTTTTTAAAATAATGAACTCCTGAAAGCAGTTAATCAATTATTTTCTAAATGTAAGACACTGTGATGAAAATATTTCTAAAACCTATTGCAGCCTTCCCTGCTTGAGCAAACCCAATAAGATAAGCTTAATTTATCCTATGCTAATAGTAGATCCTGAGAAAATAGATTTAAAAAAAATTTGTCCATGACATAAAGACCTCTAATATTGTATTTTTCTACAGATTCAAATACAGTTTCACTCAGAGATGGGATCATTTGGAAATAACCCAATGCAAATGCTCAACTATATTTAAAAAGTCCTTAATGTGAGCTTACTTGGTCTCATTTGTTTCTTTCTTAAAAAGTCTTAATAAAAGATGAGAAATTGCATGACCTTCAGAAAGGATAACACAACTACCTGTTGACAGAATTAATTATTGACTCAAATGCTGTGAAATAGCTTTCAACTGAGTTATTTTCACAATCTCTAGAAACTCTCCTTCTTCCCTGGCATTATCCCTGAATTGACAAGAGTGTTTAAAACATTATCTATTAGTTCTGTATCACAAGCCTGGTGGACTAGGTAAATCGCCTTGTCAGTTTTAACTCCCTCCTCTGTCTGACTCGTATGAAGATGCCTGCTAAGGTAGAAAGAGCCCCAGTCTAGGAAACAGGAGACCTGGATTCTACAGCTTCATTCTGTAGCCTTGAAAGTAACTTTATTTCTCTGGGTGTATTTACATCCCTTCCATTGTAAAGATTTTTGATGCTGTGGTACACCGCATCTCCTGCAATGCTAAAGGAAAGCAAAAAGTCCTTCACTTTCAGTCCCTTTGTCTATGAGGTTCCAATTGCATTTCGCAGGTACCCCTGTTGAAGCCTTTATAATAATTTAAGATATCAAAATGTAAAAGTGAATTGTATTGAATCCAGGCCATAGATATTTTGTTTGGTCACGTATTAAAAAAGTGATCTAGTTTATAATTTTTAGAAAAGGAAGAATTAACATAAAATTGAGATTCGGGTTGCTGTTGAAAGAGCTAAGTACATTGAGTCCACAGATCTTACGTTAGTCTCTCAGATCCAGGTAATTCTTGCTGTTTTGGTTGTGACATGTGCTCTATGCTTTGCCATCCAATACACGGCACTCATTTTTGTTCTCTGGCTGGCTCTGTACACATTTCTATGTGTGAATACAGGTGTATGTATTTGTCTCCTCCCTAAACAATGAGCTCTTCCAAGGAAAATAACTTGTCTTTACCCTCTGTGATAGGCTACCTAACAAATATACATTCTATGTGCCTTTAAAAAGAGATCTCCAACTTTATTCAGTCTATCCTGATAAAATACCTCTGTAGGCTACCTTGTGTCTTGTGAAGTTCAAGCCAATGAAAAGGAAAAGAAAGTCAACAGCATGGGTCTTTCAGGAAAGCTATGACTTTACCTAATTAAAACACACACACACACACACACACACACACACACACACACAGTCTCTCAACTGCCACCACGTTGGCCATTCATACTTTATGTTTCTCTACCCTCTTACTTGGAACTTTGACATAGAGCCTATATAGATAGTAGCCATCTTGCAACCTGGGGCAATAGCCATAAGTGAAGATGACAATAAAAAAGATTGCAACCTTGAGCAGTTGATCCAGCCCTTGACTCTCATCATGTTGATTGAAAAATAAACCCCTACCTGGTTGAAATATCATAAGCAAGTTTTATGTTTATTAATGTCAGTTGTATCCCTAACAACTATATCCTCATTGAATCTCAAGTACTTAGTCCACAGAAGTTAGCTGGTTATTGATGTTTTTATAACAGAAACAATACCAATGACAATAACCTACAATGGATGTATGCTTACTATTGCCAGGTCCTGTGCTAAAAGTTTTACATCATTTAATTCTCACAATTGCCCTGTAAGACAGGTAACCTTACCCCCAATATACAGATGAGTCATGGAGAAGATAAATAGTTCTCCCCAGGTCAAACCATTTTTGGGGATAAATGATGAATATTTTATCTAAGTTTTAAACAAAGCCAAAGTCAGGCATTTGAAAGTACAAACATCTCATTCGACTTCATGGATCCACGAAAATAAGTTAACATTTCAAATAACACTTAACATATGTTTATAAGTCCAAATATCAGCTGGGCCCTCAGAATCCTCTAAGGTTCTTATACTCTTCCCTAAACAGTTTGCTCTCTCATTCTCAGAAAGAAAAACTTCAAAATTTCTACTTTTTTCTGAAACTATCAACATCACCCTCCATCTCTGACTCTCCACTGAGAAAACACAAGGCTGCTTCCATCTGTTCTTACTCTGGCTTCTGACTTTTGAATTGATGAATTGTCCCTATTACTATCTAAGTTAAAGCTCACCAATGGTGTTCAACATTTCTTCCCTGTTTTGCAATATTAAGATTTTTCAAACGTAGTAATATACCCCCTCTCCTATACCATCAATTTCCCCTCCTCTCATAACACAGGTTTGCCCCATTTTTTGTTATTAGAATGAAATTTCCCTTGATCCCTTTCAACTCTTTCAGTTACCCAAAGTTATCCA